GCCCCTAATTCTTGCATGTTGGCAAAATGCCCCCAGGTCCCCAGAGTGGCTTGATGATATTAAGATCAGAAATTTTATGGAAGTCATAGTTTTTACCATAGCCGAAAATAGTTCCATAGAATCGCGGCTAAGTGCCACCGGAGGACAGACCGGGAACTGCAAGATTTGGGTTAGGTAGTGAATGGTAAGTAAGGGGGCTCTTAAGAACAAATGATAAGAAGTGGAGATCTGAGAGAGGAAATGGAATGTTACAGAGATTAGAGACCATACAGGCATAAAAAAAAGAAATCAAGGGAGCTGCATTTTGGGATTATTTGCCAACTGTGATAGCCCAAGGGAGAAAGGAATTGAAAACAGTTTTGAGGATACTGAGGTCAAGGGTGGGTTAATGGGAATGTTGACTCCCCCAAGAATTAGGGATGGAAAATTAGAGGAAAAGAAGTAGGGAAGCCAGGCAGCAAAATGGTCAAAGAAGAAAAGGGTGGAGCCAGGGTTGCGATAAATAACAGTAATGTTTGCAGAGATGGTTATGCAACGACTGAACTGGGTTGTGTTTTTAAACTCTGAATCTTGAAAGGGCACTTTAGGCACCTTAACCACTACATCAGATCTCAAAATTTCAATCCCTATACTAATAGACAGGTCTAAAAGTTAATTGACACACCAGGCCATGAGGGCCAGTAGCACACTCCCACATACACATAGATTGCAACACACACATATAGATGCACAGTGTACCACACAGAACCACACATTTATTATATTACCATAATATTTGCTTTATGTGACTATGCTAGTGAACTAAGGTGAATTGGTAAGGAAATTGCAATATCTAGGCCAATGAAATAGCTGAATTGGAGAATTGTAGCCTAGATTTTGCAATTGTCTTGCAAATTCACCAAAATTCATGTTTGTAGGGTGTGACTGACCGCCTGGCACCCCGACTGGGTGCCTCCGCCAATAACTGCTTCCTAGTACCTCCGAGTACTTCCAAGCACTCCACCAAACACCATCAACACCGCAGTCCCCACTTCCAGCATTACAGCTTGGCTGGGGTCTCGCTGTCCTCCACCCACCCAGGACTCAAGACCAGGATCCAGCTTCCAGTGGGCAGACTGCTCCTACTGCAGAGAGTGTAGCAGGCTGCTATTACAAGAGCAAGTGATTATAACTCAGAGCAGATACAGCTGTTCAACCACACATGAGATCAGGCTCTATGTTGAGGATAGGCAGGAACTCATTTAATGGGAGCCACAACTGGCCTTATATGCAAGTCCCCATGCAAGGGGCACTTTCCCCTGGACCTGAGAGTAAACCACAGTATAAACAATTACACAACCACATTGGCTTTCAGATCCAGGACACTCCCATACATAATCAGATAATCCCTCCTCTGTGCCTGGGAGATAATTGGATCAGGAACTGTACTAATCTAATCCAATTATCTCTAAGCACAGGAAAAACATACTTTTTTACAAAAGTTACATCCCCTGATAGCCCATATTTTTGATCGACCGTGCACATGGTCCTATGCCCAAAACAGTTCCAGGGAATCAGGGAAATCCCCTAAAATCTCACCTACCTATAACACAAAAAAAATTGAGATATATAAAGAAAATCTTAGGTTAAGTTTGTTAACAGAGTCAGAGTAGGTAAGGGGTAGATTGTAGCTAGGGGTGAAGAGTGCAGCTGAGCCCCGACGTGCGTTTTGCCGGTAAGGCGGCTCTTCAAGGGGGTCATTGTACAAAAGTACATAACTCACATGAACAGAGCCTTTTAAAGTGCATTGGGCAAGGTATATTGCAAGGCCCATAGTCCTGAGGCAGGAGGCTAGCAAAAAGGCCCCTCCAAGAACCAGTGGCGAGGTTACTTTTGCCACGTAGGGTTAATCCCTAACGTGTCAGGTATTCAAACTTCGTTTCACATTTAAGGCCAAAATAGTTAAACTATAACTATTCCCCAAGGCCTGAATTTAATATTGTTGGATAAGTTTTCCAAATGATTTAAGAAGTTTGGATACAATTTAAAATGATTTAATATTATGAAATCTGTTGCATTTTAAAAAATATTATTTTTTTATTTTTTTTTCATTTGAAAAGCTTATCCAAAACTATGACACACATGCCTCCTCCAAAGTGGACATCTCAATTCAGTGTCCCTTCACAGATTCAAAGACACAGATTCACACACAGCCTTAAACTCAGAGATACATACACAGATTAACACACACTGACTCACATATTCACAGACACCTAGATTAACACACACTCACACATTCAAAGACACACAGATTCAGACTCACATATTCACACACTCACAGACTCAATCTCACAGAATAACACACTATCAGATTCAGACTCACATATTCATGCACATGTTCACACACACAAACACATACAGATTAACACACTCTCAGACTCACATTGAAAGATTCACACACACACACAGGGCCGCCATCAGGGGGTGACAACCGTGACAGTTGTCACGGGCCCGGCGGCCCTGGGGGGCCCGGACTGCTCTGGCAGTCCTGGGCCCCACTTTGTTTCTCTGCACACATAGATAGTGAATCTCGCTATCTATGTGTGCAGCCGCGGGCCCCCGGCTCCCTGTTACCGTCCGCAGAGGAGGCCCAGGCAGCACACAGCTTCTCCTCCTCTCTGCTCTCTTCTCATAACTCTCGCGAGACCCGGTTACCATGGCAACGCTCCGCGGGTCTCGCAAGAGTTATTAGAAGAGAGAGGAGGAGAAGCTGCTCCTGTGCTGCCTGGGCCCCCTCTGCGGTAACAGGGAGCCGGGGGGGCCCCCCACCGGACCACCACGGATGGAATCTCCCCCCTCCCTGGATACAGGTAAGCAAGGAGGGGGGAGAAACATTTAATTACATCAATAGAAAATTAATGTTAAAATGCCCCTTCCTCCCCCTCCCCCCCCAGATCACACATTTACACAACACACACTGCATACACTAACACAACACACACTGCATACACTAACACACACACACTGCATACACTAACAACACACACACTGCATACACTAACACAACACACACTGCATACACTAACACACACACACTGCATACACTAACACAACACATACTGCATACACTAACACAACACACACTGCATACACTAACACACACACACTGCATACACTAACACAACACACACTGCATACACTAACACAACACACACTACATACACTAACACACACACTGCATACACTTACACAACACACACTGCATACACTAACACACACACTACATACACTAACACAACACACACTGCATACACTAACACAACACACACTACATACACTAACACAACACACTGCATACACTAACACACACACACTACATACACTAACACAACACACACTGCATACACTAACACAACACACACTACATACACTAACACAACACTGCATACACACTCCAACACAACACACCAAGACACACACTAACACAACACACACACCGCACACACTAACACAACACACACACTGCATACACTAACACAACACAAACACACTGCATACACCACAACACACACACACACACTGCATACACTAACACAACACACACTGCATACACTAACACAACACACACACACTGCATACACTAACACAACACACCCACTGCATACACTAACAAAACACACACACTGCATACACTAACACAACACACACACCGCATACACTAATACAACACACACACCGCATACACTAACACACCACACACACCGCATACACTAACACAACACACACTATGCATACACTAACACAACACACACACACACATGCTGCATCCACCAACACAACACACACACTGCATCCGCCACACACATTAACACACCTGCATCCGCCACACACCCACACCCACCGCATCCACCATACTGACACACACCTGCACTGCCACACACACACACCTGCATTCACCACATCCAACACACACCCCCTGCATCCGCCACACACACTAACACACACTCTGCATCCGCTACACACTAACACACTCTGTATTTACTACACTAACACATACTCTGCATCCGCTACAACTAACACACACTCTGCATTCACTACACTAACACACACACTCTGCATCTACTACACACTAACACACTCTCTGCATTCACTACACTATCACACACTCTGCATCCGCTACACACTAACCCACTCTCTGCATTCACTACACATTAACACACTCTGCATTCACTACACTAACACAATCTCTGCATTCACTACACTAACACACTCTCTGCATTCACTACACATTAACACACTCTCTGCATTCACTACACTAACACACACTCTGCATCCGCTACACATTAACACACACTCTGCATCCGCTACACACTAACCCACTCTCTGCATTCACTACACTAACACACACTCTGCATCTGCTACACACTAACCCACTCTCTGCATTCACTACACATTAACACACTCTGCATCCGCTACACACTAACACAATCTCTGCATTCACCACACTAACACACACTCTGCATCCACTAACACAACACACACACTGCATCCGCTACACATTAACACACACTCTGCATCCGCTACACACTAACACACTCACTGCATCCACTATACTGACACACACTCTGCATTCGCTACACATTAATACACTCTGCATTCACTACACTAACACACACTCTGCATCCGCTACACACTAACACACACTCTGCATCCGCTACACACTAACACACTCTCTGCATTCACTACACATTAACACACTCTGCATTCACTACACTAACACACACCTCTGCATTCACTACACTAACACACTCTCTGCATTCACTACACATTAACACACTCTCTGCATTCACTACACTAACACACACTCTGCATCCGCTACACACTAACACACTCTCTGCATTCACTACACTAACACACACTCTGCATCCGCTACACACTAACCCACTCTCTGCATTCACTACACATTAACACACTCTGCATCCGCTACACACTAACACAATCTCTGCATTCACCACACTAACACACACTCTGCATCCACTACACACTAACACACATTCTGCATTCACTACACTAACACACACTCTGCATTCACTACACATTAACACACACTCTGCATTCACTGCACTAACACACACACTACATTCATTACACTGACACACTCTGCATTCACTACACACTAACACACACTCTGCATTCACTAAACTATGCATACACTATGGATTCACTATACTGACACACAATCTGCATTCACTACACTAACATACACTCTGCATTAACTGTACACACAGCATCCACTACACAAACATCCTGTATTCACAGTACACACACTACATCCACCACACATTGAAACACTCTGCATTCACTATACACAGACACTGCGTCTAATACACGCACTACATCCACTAAACACATTTCATCTAGTACATACAAACACTACATCCACTACACAAACACACACTACATCACTGTACACACACTATATCCACTACTCAAACACACTCTGCGTTCACTATACACACTGCATCCGCTACACAAACACACACTCTGCATTCACTGTACAAACAGTATCTAATACACACAAACACTACATCCATTACACATATTCTAATTCACTTCCACTATACACACCACATTCAGTCCTGCATCATTGTCAGCGGACCAGGTAGGGCGTGTGCGGGCCCGGGAGGGAGGGAGGGGGGGGCCCAAACCTGGTGTTTTGTCAGGGGCCCCAAAATTTCTGATGGCGGCCCTGCACACACACACACACACACACATATTCAGATTTACAGACACACAATTTAACACACACATTCAGACGAATCCAAACTTACAGATTCACACTGACAGATTCACACAGACACACAGATTCATGCGGACACCGACATATTGATACAAAAATATTTAAGTGCAGACCATTTTCAGCCACCATCATCTTGGCTTACCATGTCACTGCAGGAGGGTGGCTTTCCATCAGTCCAGAGGAGATAGCTCTATGTGCAGTTAATACAGAACTCAATCATGTGGGCTTTTCACAGAGCTCAGGGAAAAAGTGATATGATGTGATTTCACTTCCTCCCAGTGCTTCCAAGGGGTACGGTAGGGATAGCTGGAGCTTGCTTGTATATTAAGCCTGCCCTGCCACTACACCACCATTAGAGGCTGTCTCTCTCACTCTGCCCTGTAGCCAGGCCCGGACTGGCCATCAGGCAAAAAGGGGCTGCGCTGCCATGGCCATGGGCCAAGGCCGACAGGGGGGATAAAAAGATCAGCCTGGTCAGCCCGTTTAAGACTGGCAATGCATCCATGGCTGGTGGGCTCTCTCAGCCAGTATGCTGATATGAAGGGCCTGCAAATGCTCCACCCAATGAGAGCATTTCCGTTGGTTACTACAACAACGTTCTGATAAATTCCAAAGCGCAGGCCTAGTGCACTTGGTCTACACCTGAGACTTTATCCACCGGACAACCAGGGAAAATGTTTTCACCCGGGAACTCCCCCTCCCAACAAGGCCAAAGGTAAGAAAAAGTGAAGGGGGAATAAACTGTCAAGGATTTTTACTTTCAAAAAAATATCATTAGAAATGTGATGTTTTTTGTTTGTTTTTTACCCCAGCAGCCCCTGCTGCAATAACAAACAGCAGTCCCCTATCCCCCTTTCCCAGCCAGCAGCCCCATGTCCCTTCTCACAGTCAGCAGCCCCCTGCCTCCCTCTCACAGCCAGCAGCCCCATGTCCCCTTCTTACAACCATCAGCCCCTTGCCCCCTCTCACAACCAGCAGCCCCCTGCCCCCTATCGCCAGCAGCCCTCTGTCCCCCTCTCACAGCTAGCAGCCCCATGTCCCCCAACACACACACAACACATTTAGCCACCACACATTCACATACATATTACACTTGGGAATCACACACAACACATTTAGCCACCACATATCATATGACACTCAGGAATCACACACAGCTATCACACACAGCACACTCAGCCACCATACACCCACATACAGTTGCAAGGAAAAGTATGTGAACCCTTTGGAATGATATGGATTTCTGCACAAATTGGTCATAAAATGTGATCTGATCATCATCTAAGTCACAACAATAGACAATCACAGTCTGCTTAAACTAATAACACACAAAGAATGAAGTGTTTCAATGTTTTTATTGAACACACCATGTAAACATTCACAGTGCAGGTGGAAAAAGTATGTGAACCCTTGGATTTAATAACTGGTTGAACCTCCTTTGGCAGCAATAACTTCAACCGAACTTTCCTGTAGTAAAATTCAGCCACTAGACTATTGATAGAGTAGATAGACTAAATGGGTAATGTTGTAAATTCTGCCCACTAGTTCGCTATATGTGGTGCTTGGGCAGCATAGACTAACCGAATCCTGGTGTAAATAGTTTGATAGTTCTCGGGGTGCTGGCCAATTAGAATAGTTGGGATTATTGTAAATGTTGTTAAATATTCTGTAGTTGGTGAATTGGTGAATTGTATGTCCTGCTAGAAAGCTTGAGCTCTGCCGTCTAGTGGTATTGTAAATTGTGTGTATACTGTATAATAGCGCACGGTATTATAACCATTAACATGTACTACAACTACTGACGTTGTGTAAAAATTACTAAAAACTGTTGTCTTATGTTATATGTGTAACACCATAACTGTTACTATCTGATCTGTGACTTTAAAACTGTATTATAACCACTTGCTAACCATACCATAACCACTGATTGTAAAGATGAGGTTACTAGAATGTGATATAGTCGGTTAGTTAAAAGTTGATTTATAATGTGGATAATTGTAGGGTTTGATTTATAGTTACAGAGATAAGTATCTAGTGTTTGGTAAATCTTTGTGAGTGAGACGTCGTGATATCACTGTATGTACGAGAATTCTCTGCGTGTTTTCGTGTGTGTGTGTTTGGCCTAGCAACTGTGCCACGTGGTGCTGTTGCCAAGGAAACAAGTGTGATCGTTGGAAGTGTGTTTGGGGTTTTGTGTTTCTTTGTATTAGACGCTGTCAGAGTATTTATATCGGCAGACATCTTGTGCTATGATAGAAATTAAAAGTGTATATTCTGAGTCACTCTGAACAGACCAGACTCCATTTTGTTATTTTCAAGTTAACAAAGAGACACGAAATTTCTATCCTATCTGTAAAACTAACCACTTTCCCAGAGCTAAAGGAATGCATAGTATATACAAACCAAGTGATAAGGAGAACGGGGGTTGGATAGACTGTCTTAAATGCTAATGGAATAGATGCATATCTAAACACAGACATTTGTGACAGAGGAGATTAAATAATAAAATGTTACTTTCTATATGTACAAGATCCCATTGTAAGTTACGGGTCAAAACTCAGAATTTGCCAGACACATAGTCTGGACAAAACTTAAAGAAACTGTTGATCTGACAGAAAACGTAAGTTATGGCTACTATAAAGATAAAGCCAAAATGACGTCAAAATTGCCACCAGGAAAAGTTAACTCTTTCCTGGATAGGTATGTTTAGTGGGACAAGACTGCCCTCTATAGATCAAAATAACTAAATTGCGATCTGGAAGATAACCACACCCCCAGTGTTGCTATTGGGTTATCAACTGATGACGTACAGAGAGTCTGGCCCTTTAAAAAGTTAGGACAAAGGGTAGACGAGGAATGCAAGGGTATGCAAGGAAAGCAAAGAAGTGAGCAGTCGGAAGCAATGCAGAGAGGCCTATGACAGATATCCACTCTAGGACACTCAGAAATTCCTACACACCTCCATGCAGAGAGACATCCAAACAAGTTCCTGAGACTACCAATCGGATGAAATATCTACTCAACTGGTAATTATACTGGTTTCATTTAATTAATTAAATTAATTAAAATTTACTAATAGCATGATATATGACTGGATAAAGCACGGTCAGATTTCCATATTTAAGAAATCTTAGTTAACTAAAGAATATATAGTTATAAACATTCCATTCTGCAGGTGGAATTAAGAATAATTATATATTGATGTGATATTATCACGTGTTAGCATACCGCTGTTTTTATCCAGGTGTATTGATTTGTTCTAAAATAAGATAAGATATCTTTTTAGACAAATTAAATTCTGCTTTTATAAAATATGGTAGATTCTCTTATTGGATGGTTCCAGGTAATGACTAATGAACTGGTTTAAATGTTGTTTTATTTAAAATTACATAAGAATAGATCTTAATTACCTAGGAGATCTAACCAGCATTGACAGGGTTATTCAGTTGATCTAACTGCTAGCCAGGGTTTTATGGCCCTTCGCTGTGAAAAGCTTCGCTTTCTCTCTGTGAAAGATAGTCATAAATCGTGTAAGTCTTGACAGAAAATGCTGTTTAGCCATTGAAACGTTTATACCCATTCCATTGTATTGCATATCATTTTATACTGGATATTCATTGATTATTGTCACGCATGTTACATATTATTATTATTAGTTATTATAAAATAAAAATCTATTTTTATAAAATTGTGATTTTATTTATATGAAATACTTTTCACTTACGATAATGATCTTTGGGATCTGAGAATTGAATTAGTGGGCAATTCTCACTGTTTACTATTATTATCCCATAAATATCCCCACAACGCTCCGTTGCCAGTATGGGTGCGTCTGACTCAAAGATTGTTGATCCCTTATCGTGTATGTTGAAAAACTTTGTAAAGGGATATGAAGTTTGTGATTTTGGAGTGAAATTATCCCCAAAGCGTTTGACTACATTATGTAGTAGAGAGTGGCCTATCTTGGTGACTGCATGGCCTCCATGTGGTTGTCTTGATCTAACTCTAGTGCAACGTGTGCATGCGGTTGTATCTAGTAGGCCTGAATTCTATGACCAGTTTCCGTATATTGAGTGTTGGAAACAGATTGTGGAAGAATTGCCTAAATGGATTAAGGTATGCCACGAGGAGCAATGTCGCCTCATGGTGGCCAGGACTCGCCTGTCCATCAGGGCCGCAAACCTGCCCATTTTAGACTCTCCCTCTGAGTCTGAACTTCCCTCCCCATCCCCTTTCTCCTCCTCTAAGGTTAGAGGAGGTGCTGCTGGTGTTGCCACTCCCCCTTTCCCATTGTCCCTGCCCACTCATTCATCTTGTTTAGAGCCCAGCCCACTTGCCCTGAGTCCTCCCCTTCCGGTACCTACCTCCACTAGTTCTATATATCCGGAATTAACGTCACTTCTGGTTCCTGGTCAGGCTTCTCCTAGCCCGGCCCGCAACATCCTGGTGACTGAACTTCCGCCCGGTAAAATTAACCCGCCTCCTTACCTTACTACCCCTAGACCGGAACTTACTATAAAACAGCC